TCACCTATCATCATTTCAAGTGTGTTAAGTTTAATGTAACTAATACTTAAGACAAATAATTTTTTTTATATTTACGCTATCATATAGCCAAATATATTATGGCACGTGCGTCTTAATAGTAGTGGGAAAAAAAGTTTTGAATAGTGATTTTTAGGAGAATGTATGGTTAAAATATAGAGAAAATTTTTTAGTTTGCGTGTAGAATATTTTATTGTTAAATGTGATTGAAAATGATCTTGTAACATACCATAATAAAAATTAATAGATGTCAAACGGCTCATAATGCTGTGTGATTATTATACTGCGATTTCAAAGCCGCCGCCACATCAGTGCCACACTTGAACTATCTTCATTACTAAACCACACGAAACTCTCGTTAAAAAATTAAAATTGATAAAATTATAACAAAATAATAGTTTCATCACGAAGCTATATGGTGGTTGTGTGGTGTGACAATGGTGATAGAGTGTGGTTGGATTAGAAGATGAACTTTTTTTAGTCGTTATTGGGTCTCACTCATCTAATAAAAGTCAACAATAATGATTAATTTTTTAATTTTAATCCGATTTTAATCCCTCTCAAACAAGCTCATAATATTTTTGTTTTTTTAAAGTTTGTTTCATTTTTAAATTTTCTATTCTTTTTTTTTTTTTATTATTATTGTTTGGCTTTTTTGAGTGCAGAAAAAAAAAAGTTTGAGACCATTTATACTACATTTAAAAGATTTGAACCAAGTATCCAATTTGGGCAAAGGTTTGTCTATTTGTGTGAATTTCCCTACCGTGAATATATAGTTTTGGAAAATTCTGGTCGGCCAGGGTCAAGGACCGACCACAAAACAGGCGCCCCTGATTTGATGAAATGGGCCCCCCCATGAATTGAAATCCTCGGCCTCCTGTTTTTGGGCCTGTTTTTGGCCCTGTTCGTCCAGCAGATCTCATATAGTTTTACACAGACCAGGTCAGCAGAGAGAAATGGAAGGACTTACGGAAGATGAGAAAAGGGCACTGCGAGGAAGCAAATTTGCTCCTCTTCCATCTGCATCCGCTCCTACCCGATCCCTACCGAGGTTTCCACCTATACGTCTTTGAATTTACTGCGTATGATTTCAATCGGTGTGTTTATATGTACGCGAATGTGATGCTGTATGCACGAGTATAAAATTGGGTGTAATATGTAGGTTAGCTCACCCTGGGGGGCCGGTGAAGACTAATAAGGCGGCGGCATTGGCGAAATTTCTTGAGCGGAAGCTTCAGGATCCAAACGGGTTGGCCTCTGTCGACCCAAAGCTTGTTGAATTGGCTGTGAAAAATGCCAAACAAACTGTTCAATCCAGTATGAATTTCTCATCTTTTTTCTTTATACTCAAGAATTTGTGTTTAATTTTAGTAGTATAAGAGCTAGTATGTTAATATTATCTTTCTTTTGAGTCAGTTTTCTGAATTTTTGTTATGCTTATTGAATTGGGTTTGTGAAATAGTTTTGTGTATGTTTATTTTTCAGACCTTGGGTATTGTTTGTTATAGGTTGTGTTGTTGGCCCGGGATGGATCTGAGGGCTGAATAATTGAATCTAAACAGATTCCTCCTCTGGAACTAGGTCAATGGAACGGATTTATTCCTTTTTGTTTTATTTCGTTAATTCTGCATAGCATAGTACCTTTTACCTTCCCGTTTGCCGAGGTATATCACCTTGGGTGAAATCATGTATATTCCAGTTATTCATGACTCCAATTCCTTTCTTGCGTTCTTTCTTCCTAGGAGGGATCTGCCATTATCCTTCATTTTGGTGATAGTGCTAGTTATTTTCCGGTGGCTTTTGCCATCCTTGGTGCACCGGTGACTTGACCTGTTTTTAAACCTCCACTATATCAGATGGCTGATAGTTATAAACGTCCATGTCCTGGTAATGCCTGAAAATATGAACACTTCTTTCACTTTAGAGAGAATAAAACTTCAACAATACGTAAATCCTGATTTGCAAAGTTGAAAATGTGCCTCGCCTACATGTTTTGTTCCCATCCTTTACAATTCTTCACCCTGAGAGAGTTAAAGTTCAAAAAAGTATCAGGACCAGATCGGTGCATCAAGTATGGCGAAGACAATTGCAAAATTACTCGAAGTATCACTGAGATCACGGAGATTGATAGAAAGAAAACCATTTTTTACCTTCTAACAAGAAAACACGAGAAAGGAAGTGGTCTCAAGACTATTTATATTGTGCGTGATTTCATCCTAGATGAGAGTTTAGATCCTCTCAGAGATCCTACATCAAACAAGAAGGCAAATGACATTGTGCTAAGCAGAATTTACGAAGATTAAGAAAATAAAAGACAAAAGAAAATATTAAAGTGAGTGTTGCGATGGTAGTTCATGAGAGAATATGTTGTAAGATGCAAATCTTGTTAACAAGATGATACCAATTTTTAACAAGTTCACGAGTTTCTTTCAATAGCAATTGGGATGCTTCAACTTTTGACCAACTAAATTCCTTTGATTTCTTTATTCTCCAAATTATCGGGCTTGCAATATCAAGATCTGAAGCCGAGTATGTAGCAGCAGCCTCAAGTGTATGTCAATTTGGTAATATTTCACTTATCAACTCAGCGAAGAATCAATGTGACATGGGAGAAGTAACCACTTCAATATGGGGTTTAAATTCCACGCGATCAAGAGTAGAAGAGCGATCTATTTTATATGTTTGAAGATCGAGTGGTACTGTGGTAGATCCTGGACGTTTAAGCTGGATTCATTCATTAAGTTTGAGAATATGATTGGAGTCGGCAAAATCTGACTTAAGGGGATGATAATGATAACCCTGATTTAGCCCTAGTCTAGATAGAATTATTTTGTCTATCTGATATCAAAGTTGTTGGACTTGATTCTATTTTATCTTTGTTCTTGTCCTGTAAATGCAAGACTGTTGTGGACAATTTTTATTTAGAGGTATGTATTGCTGTAATTCCTTCAGGGATTGGAAATGTCGATCAAATTTGATAACCTTGATTTAAATGAGCCAATTGCAGCCTCTGTATAACCTTCTTTAATTAATTACCCCTCATTAATAGTCTGGACATCAGTTTCTTGTCTGTTAACTGCATATATTAAACATGAGTTCCATTAACTCATAATACCTAATCAAGATGGCGAAATTTAGTTGTTGCCATAAGTGGTGGTTACTTATCATGAGAAAGTTGATTGCTCATTTTGTTCATCCAATACGAATGATTCAGGTGGGGCCTCAACTTCAGGAAGGATAGTTCATCATGTTAATTGTTTTAGCGACTCTAAGGTGTGTTATTGTACTTGATGATCATTTCAAAAGCTTGAGAATTTTGTTTTCTATTTGATCTCTTCTTTGTACTCAACTATTATGGACTACCCCAATTGTTGAGAACTTGACAGGATGCCATTGAAGAGGAGGAGGTAAAGACCTCTTTGTCAAAGAAACACAAGAAGAAGAAGAAAAAGAAGAAAAAGAAGGAAAATATTAGAAACAATAAACAGAAGGTATTTTTTTTGGCTTTTATTTTACTTATTTTTCGTATTCGATGGCATTCTATTGCTGAGTTCAGCTTAGTTTTAAATCTTTATCCTTTTGCTGAAATTGGAGGACTTTGGTCGTGATACATCAAAAAGACCTAACAAGAAGCTGAAATTATGATGAAGTGAGATATAGGAGGAGATTTTTCAAGGCTTTAGAGGCTGAAAGATACCGACTAGAAAGAAATGCGTTTTCCACAAAAACAGCTGAGAATATATAACAAAAAATAGACTCATTGCTGGTTTGATTTCGTTGGCCTTCCTTTTATTCATCGGGCGACTTGAAAAGCAATGCTGGTTGCAAATTATGTTTATGTTTCTCTAGTCTCTGAAATTCATGGTTTGCCAACATTTTCGAAGTTGCCAGGGAATGTCAAGACATGGGATGGTAGGCTTGATGTGATACTCTTTTCTTGCGAAGTATCTGCCTGAAAGTTTTTTGCTATGTTCAAAAAAAGGTTTCGATAATGGGTATTTTTTGACTGCAAATCCATGTATGCCCATCCATTCCAAAATCTTTCTGGTGCTGAGGTTAATCAACTTGCATAGTATCTATGCACAAAATAAAGTGACAGGAA